ATTCCAATCAGTTTGTCTGTTTTTTATGAGCCAAAGGAACATACGGGTCAGAAACACTCAATATTTTCCATCGTGGTCACCACGAGACGTTTTATGTACTAACGTTCTTTGTGTATAGAACATTAGAAAGTTGTCCATTGTCAGAATAATGACAAGAGAGTAGTAACGTAATAAACATGAACGACAGGCACCACCATCACACAAGTAGGATACTGACACAGGCACCACCATCACACAAGTAGGATACTGACACAGGCACCACCATCACACAAGTAGGATACTGACACAGGCACCACCATCACACAAGTAGGATACTGACACAGGCACCACCACCACACAAGTAGGATACTGACACAGGCACCACCATCACACAAGATGGGACACTGACACAGGCACCACCATCACACACAAGTAGGATACTGACACAGGCACCACCATCACACAAGTAGGATACTGACACAGGCACCACCATCACACAAGTAGGATACTGACACAGGCACCATCATCACACAGTAGGATACTGACACTGGCACCACCACCACACAAGTAGGATACTGACACTGGCACCACCATCACACAAGTAGGATACTGACACAGGCACCATCATCACACAAGTGGGATACTGACACAGGCACCACCATAACACAAGTAGGATACTGACACAGGCACCACCATCACACAAGTAGGATACTGACACAGGCACCACCATCACACAAGTAGGATACTGACACTGGCACCACCATCACACAAGTAGGATACTGACACAGGCACCACCATCACACAAGTAGGATACTGACACAGGCACCACCATCAAACAAGTAGGATACTGACACAGGCACCACCATCACACAAGTAGGATACTGACACAGGCACCACCACCACACAAGTAGGATACTGACACAGGCACCACCATCACACAAGTAGGATACTGACACAGGCACCACCATCACACAAGTAGGATACTGACACAGGCACCACCATCACACAAGTAGGATACTGACACAGGCACCACCATCACACAAGTAGGATACTGACACAGGCACCACCATCACACAAGTAGGATACTGACACAGGCACCACCATCACACATGTAGGATATTGACACAGGCACCACCATCACACAAGTAGGATACTGACACAGGCACCACCATCACACAAGTAGGATACTCACACAGGCACCACCATCACACAAGTAGGATACTGACACAGGCACCACCATCACACAAGTAGGATACTGACACAGGCACCACCATCACACAAGTAGGATACTGACACAGGCACCACCATCACACAAGTAGGATACTGACACAGGCACCACCATCACACAAGTAGGATACTGACACAGGCACCACCATCACACAAGTAGGATACTGACACAAACAATCGGTATCGATTTATTGGCGTTATGCGATAAACTGTAAATTAGTTCATTTTAACATCACATATTTATCAGCACCTCGAACTGCATGCACTGTTACATAACGGCAGCACATACACACACAGATTATTGTCAACCTAGGAAGTAACACTGACAGCAGTCAGAATTCGGAGCCTCTAACTCTCTAACTACTTTCATTCGTGGAGTGTCTCCTGGCATTACTCATCAAATGTGTGATTTTCAACACTGGAAGTAATATTGCTGAGTGCGGCGTAAAACTAAAGTCACTCACTCACTCAACACTGGCGGTATCTGCTATTCCTTGTGGGTGCCTGGGTCAGTTCTTTCAGCTGTTGAACTGGTGACTCCTCGCTGTCACTTAGTGTAAACATACATACTTTATTCAAAAATAGATTGAACATGGATTGGTAAACAAGCCGTAATGACTAATTTAAATACCCATCCATTACATTAATACATGGATACAACAAACATTAAATAATATACAGCATAATAGGAGAGCCAGTAATCTGTGTATGGAACACCATTAATCATTTATCAAACCTGTGCGAATTTATTTTAAAAGTATGGAAAGATTTTAGTATCAAACAAAGACGTTTACTTTTGTTTGGATTTCCATTTAAGACACAGTTTAATTTATATCCATGTACATAAAAATACATATGATAGCTGATATTGGAATAATTAGGACAAGTACAGAAGTAATGTAAAGTGTCCTCATAGGGGTGACCACATGCAGTAACAGGATGGATCAACTGAAATGTGCCGTTCAAACATGTGCGCATTCAAATCACTGCACCCAAGTCAGGCGTGAGTGGATAATTTGGGAAAAGCGTGTACCAAAGTTTTAATGAAATATATTAAAATTCAGTCGTTTTGATGATTGTAATACATTTTTGAACTGGCCTATAGTTTCAATATCAGACATATTCTCAGGCAAACCATTCCATTGTATATTGTATCTGGTAAAAACGAATTGCGATACAAATCACTACGACATCTTATAGTTTAAATGTTATTACTGTTTCTTAATCTATGGTCACCTAACTGTGATACTCTTTCAGGTAGTAGATCAGTTAAATAAACTGGTGTCATATGATGAACCATTTTGTATAATAATGTTAATTTGTCCACGGTCAACTAGGGGCATTGACTTAGTTTCCTTTTAAATTAAATCATTACTTGTTCCTCTAACTGCCCCGCAAAGAGTCCCCAAAGCATCTAAAAAAGAGAAATCTCGTTCTTTAGTACCATTATTCCAAAGGTGATCGAACATTGGTAATATTTATGACTTGTACATTTGCTCTAATGATTTTCTTGATAATCTATATTTAAAACAACCATTTTACCAGTAGACGAACCTTTTTACTAATTCACCAATATGGGAGTTCCATTTACAATCTGATTGTAAGGTTACTCCTAGGTGTTTATGGTAGCTGACTTCAGTAATGTTCTTGGGTTTTAAGCCTGGGAATGGGAACTTGAGTGCCGTCACTTCTGCGAGTGAATAAAACAGTTTCTGTCTTACTAGGATTAAAATCAACCTGCCATATTTCAGCCCAGTGAGAGATCCTGTTATCATCACTTAAGGAAGCGGCAGTAAAATCATGATTATCAACAATAAAACACATGATTATCAACACACACACAAACACACACACACGCGCACACACACACACACACCACACACACAGTATCATTAGCAAAAATGATATTACCCTCAATGATATTATTTATGTAAACTAAAAAGCAAGTGTTGACCTAAGGACAGATCCTTTTGTCACCCCAGCAGTGACTCTCTTTAGATCTGAACTGTAATTGTATGTAGCTACCATCTGTTATCACTATGATTCCTTTATGTCAAACCTTACAAATGCCTCGCTTATGTCACATAAAACTGCCCTGACGTCTCTGCCATTTTGTAATGCAAGATATATGAAATCATGCAAGTATGCCAGTTGATATACAGTACCATCCCCAGGCATGAACCCTGGCTGCAAATTGGTCAATACGATATATGTGGCAAAACGTGTCTTGGAAACTTCAACACCTTATAATGATTGCATGACAAATGTAATGGTCTTAATTTTGTTCAATAATTTTCTTCCACAATAATTTGGTTTTAAATTTAGAAAATATGACATATTACAAACCTCATTATTTCTGAACAAAATATTTTGAATGAACAATCTGAAGCATATTTTACCTGTGTAATTAATTTAGGTACTGATTTTAGATACAACTTTTATAATATACTTCACTTTTCATACTCGCTATCACTTCCGTGCTATAGGTTTCACTATATGGAAGCCTCATCACTTTCATATTAGGTTTCATTGTTCGTACATCTCATAACTCATAACTTGTCGTAAGACGTGACCAATGGGATGGGGTGGTTAGGCTCACTGACTTGGTTAACACATTCTCATCGTATCCCAATTGGCTAGATTGATGTTCATTCTGTTGATCACTGGTTTGGCTGGTCCAGACTCTATTATTTACAGACCGCCGCCATATAGCTGGAATATTGATGAGTTCGGCGTTAAACAACAAACCAAACAACCTCTATATAGACCTCATTGCTTCTGTACTATAGGTTTTTTTCTATAAACCACCTTTTATATACTGTTCAGCTTTATCATTTACTTACTGTTAACGACTCTCTAGGTCTGACAAGTTTCCTTCATATATAACTCTGTATTTATGATGGAATAATCCCGATGCGACACCAGTATATTTCAATAAACTGACTCTATGCTGTGTTCCACTTTTCGCTCGTCTGTGGTACATACACAACCATTGCGATGAGTGTTATATCGGTAACACCTGATAATGCTTGGGAGATGCAGGTGATTTCAGTGGTAATGTCGTAATGTTTATCGTCTAAACAGGATTCAATCACAGTGGACATCCATAAAATTCTTGCCTTTATGTGTATCAATTCTAAATAACCCTCAAAGTATGTTGGACTGCAAAAGGGCATATATAGGCCTATCCATCAGCACAGATCACACATGTAAAACTTGACAAATATATTTGCTCTAAATAGTTAGTAAACGCGAAATCTTTAATTCAGAAAAAAGCAAAGAAGAATCACAGATATGGAACTACCGCAGTTTCCAGCATTTGTACTTATAAGTGCCAAGTTTGGCAGCTTTCAAGGTCTGCTCCGGAAACATATTGCCAGGGCCGACAGACATTGGCCCTGTTAGTGCCCCTCGCAAAACTCCATCCGGTAGAAAAACATGTGGGTGGTGTTTGATTAATGCTCGTGTGTATAGTATAAATTAAGATCCACGTGTGTACGACATTAACCCATATCACGGACATGTTTCAGAAATATTCTGTGTAGGATTATGAACTGCGTAAGGACCCTATCGCATTGTGTGTACCATAAACGTCATCTTCCATTGCAACCATTTTTATGTTTGCATCATTAACTTGGGAGGATCTAAAGTCTGATGAAACATCCCAAAGGGCACGAGCCGCAGAACATTCTGGAAGGTGCACAGACTCGTTTATATAGAGTACGCTTTGCGAGGCTCCGTGAGATTTGTCTGGATTATCGGTTGTTAGCGGAAGTTTCATATTTTCCGCGCAGGCGCAGTTAATGAAATTTTACTCACACGTGCTGTTAGAAGGGCATTGGCGATACTGCCAAAATGACAGGTTTAAAGATGATTTCGACGGCACGATTGTCAGCAAGATACTTGAAAAACTCACCTTTCCTTTTGCAACACAGAAATGCATCTGATTTCTCGAGAAACGTAAGTAAAATGGGTTATGCAAGAGGCCACATTACTCCCGTGCTGAACTTGAGAATGTTCAGTGGTAGGCACTGCGTATCGCCAATGATGTTGAGCTACAGGAAACATTAATTGCATATTTTGCTTTGGGGTGGTACGTTTCTCAGTTTGAGTATACATAACTATTTGTGGAAGGCAGTTTATGTTCTGCGTCAGAGTAGTACAGCTATCGACGCGAGTCTCGAAATGTGATAAGGGGATGGCCCGACCTCACCATTTGACCCATGGCCAACTATTGTCGGTTCAAAGGAAGTTCAAAGGTGTTCAAAATGAAAACTTTGGATAACAAATCAGCTTACTGGACACATTAAAGGGCACAGGTTACTTAGTGCAAACTGTTTCACTCTCCCGATTGTGTTTCTTGCTTCATCCATTGATGGTTATTGTTTGGGTTAGGGGAGATTACCCCAAACTCTTGTCATTAGTCCTTGGTCTTGGATCCCCTCTCGAATCAAGCCCCCACCCCACCCCCTTTGGGAGTTTTGACGCTAGGTGCCCTTTACAAATAAGCACACCTTCATTGTCCTTAGGCCTGGACACTCCTCCACGCTCTGGTGGGGAATTAGTCCAATGTGATTTGAGGAAACTTGAGTATCCGCTTATTATTGGGTTTCAGATGCTTAAGAAACATTTGTTTTCTTGCAAATCACATGAGAATCTGTAGCACACTTATTAAGGATGACTATATCTTAAACATGAACCATCGACCATGTATTTGCAATGTCTGAATGATGCAACACACCTCATCACAACATAAGTAAACACTGCGTCTGAAGTAGTATAGTAATCCACAAAAGTTTTCTGATGATATAATTCCATCAAGTTTCACCTTTTGGTAAAAAAATAACTATTGTGTATGTGCATAAAAGTAGGCAATCTGGTTCTGATGGCTTGTTAGACAAGTACTAATTATTTGTCATTGGTCATGTTGGTCCTGTGGTCAAGTTTTAGCAGATTATAATTACTCATTACCCTTGCCTAGCTTCATGCTTGATCCTAAATCTGTGCGGCAAGGTTTCACATTGCATGATCAGTGTTCTGGGACACACCTTGTGCCATTCACGCTCTGAAAGTTTAAAAGTACTGGCAGGCCATGCTGGCACACTCAGGAAATTAAACATAAATCTGAAAGGAAATTAAACATAAACTCCAAACTGCATTGACTGTAAAGAAATCACGCTACCTTCTTCACGAATTGTTTTCAGTCAAGTCATTTCAAGCATTGAAAAACAGGACCCAAACTAAACACACACGATTTGACTGTATAATTGACATTGAAATTAACAAACATAAGATTTACCTTCCCTCACTGAAGTCAAGCTGGTATCACTTTTGAGTAATCCCTGAACTCCCTCACTGAAGCAAGCTGGTATCACTTTGAGTACCCTGAACTCTGCATATCTCTTTCAAGCTGTTTCAAATCAATGGATTGTCTCCAGCCAGACTCGATTATTTCCAGACCGCCGCCATATAGCTGGTATATTGCTGAGAGTGGTGTAAAACTAAACTCACTCAACTCGTCTGCCATAGAGTCAACATGGCATCAACTGTAGTGTAATGTTGTACTAGTATTTTGTGAGTGGTTGTTTTATTTGCCAACACATTTATTGTGACAGCTTTAACTGATAGGTCTGAAAGGTGAAGCAGGGAGACACATTTTTTAGTAAAACACATTGTAGTTTACAACTAAGGAAGCACTCCTTTGGCTTTAAACATTAGTTTCATGAAAAGGACCCCTTGACTTTAAGAGTGTATAAACTATTCGAAATTTTCATTTCGAAGCACATACTTTTACTCAGCATTGTTTTAAAGAACTGCCCACACAAACGACAAATAATATTTTTAAACATTAGGATTTATTTGCTATATCTACATTAATATTAATGCTGTTGGTAGAAAAACCTTCTTATAGAACTTGCAGCGCTAAAGTGGCATGAATCAGTTTGATGCTACGCTGATAGTGATTACAAATGTGTGGTTGCTGCTGATCCATAATTGGAGTTTGACAACAAGTGTCGACAGCGTGCCCACTGATATGTAGGTTTTTCTGCTGCATGATAAAACTGCAGCTGTTTCCCAGAACTGATTAAGCAGCAATGATTTAGTGAATAACTGTTTACCAAGGTTATAAAAAAACATTATTGAAAACAAGTGCAGGTTCTGTTGTGTTGCGGAATATTTATCGAGGGAGTTGAAAGAGAAACTAGGTCATAGTTATCAGTCATTTACCCTATTGTTGGACAAGCAGTAGTATACATAATTTCACATCATTGTAGATGCTCATGTGCACATGATGCAGTGTGTATTGTTTCTTATTTTACCGAAAACATACATAACTCAACTTGGTATGCATCATTATATTCACACTTTGTTTCTTTGTATGAACACAATAGTCTGAGGCACAAATCAGGATTCTTGTCAGTGGTATTGTTCCTCCTCATGGTCTCAGTGTTGAAGGAGGAGGTAGCTGGGGAACTGATACCACAGGAAGGGTTTTTATGGACACAGAAAACTATAACCTTGCATCTCGGAACTCTCCAAATATTCATTGTACCAGATTCTTGCTAGAAATGTACAGGTCCTGTAATTTGTTATACTACACCATTTCATGTCTTCACAGGACCCACACATTTCCAATAAGGATCCTTGAAATTAGTGAACAGAATGACTGCTTCTATATGTGCACTTTTTTCCTTACAGACGTCCCTTCACAATATCATTGGTAAACAATGTTGGATGCAGAGAAGATACAGGTAGGTGGTAATCACATGGCAACAACAGCTTCTTCACAGTCTGATCTCTTAGTCTCCAAAGTAATTCATGAACTTCTCCTTTCTCAAGGCTATTCTGATTCGTCTTCAATCAGTTATTTGCTAGTCATGTCCAGATACAATTCCATTGCTTGTTAGTGTACGTGTGTTTGTGTTGTAGGTCAGACAAGGTGCGTGGCCATGTTATTGGCATCGATCTGGGTACCACCAACTCCTGTGTTGCCGTTATGGAAGGCAAGGCAGCCAAGGTGCTGGAGAACTCCGAAGGTGCCCGGACAACTCCCTCAGTAGTGGCCTTTACCAAGGATGGGGAAAGGCTGGTTGGAATGCCTGCTAAACGGCAAGCTGTAACCAATGCTGAAAATACACTGTCTGCAACAAAACGTTTGATTGGTCGACGATTTGAGGACAAAGAAGTACAGAAAGATATGTAAGTGAACCAACACTCTTCTGTGATAATGGCAGTGTATATCCTTGAGTACCTGAAGGCAAAAATTAAACTGGGGATGGCTATCGATATAGATCAGAGATCGATAGTCGTTAACTGAATATCGATTGATTATTGAGAATTACAGAGAAGTAACTTGGGCTAAAAAATATCTGAAAGAAATCCACATGTCAGACCTCTGGTGAGTGGTGGCAGATTTATGCTTGGATTAGTAACAAAACACTGTCCTAAACATACTTCACAAACATCCCATGAATAAACTTTATGTAGTGTCTGCGTAAATTAGAACTATATTTCATCACAATAGTGTATGTATGGTATTAGTGATAATTGAAAATCATCCACAATATTTAAGAATGATTTTTTAGCCAGCCCTATTTCATACCCTTTTTACGGATTAAAATGTGAAATGTTAATGATCATAAGAAGGACCGGTGTAAGTCTTTGTTAAGAGTGAGTGAGTTTAGTTTTCCGCCACACTCAGCAATATTCCAGCTATATGGCGGTGGTCTGTAAATAATCGAGTCTGAACCAGACAATCCAGTGATCAACAGCATGAGCATCGATGTGCGCAATTGGGATACGATGACATGTCAGTCTGCAAGAGTCTGACCTCCCGATCCCGTTAGTCGCCTCTTACGACAAGCATGGGTTGCTGAAGATCAATTCTAATCCGTATCTTCACGGGTCCTCAGTTAAGATTGAATGTAAATCTAGAGGTGCTTTCATTAAAAGTAAAAAAAAATGTAGGAATCCCTGGTTGCAAATAGCGGACCTTAAAATATGAGCATCCTCCAGTGCTCCTTCTGTACTACTGCTGAAGTGTCCAGGCTGGGTGAAAGTGATGGTTGATGAGGGGGATTGTTGTTTCCAGGAAAACTGTGTCCTATAAGATCACCAAGGCATCCAATGGGGATGCCTGGCTGGAGGCCCAGGGCAAGGTGTACTCCCCCAGCCAGGTGGGAGCCTTCGTGCTGATGAAGATGAAGGAGACGTCTGGTGGGTGGCACGTTTGGTTCATTGGATATGCATGATATAATCAAAATGAAGTGAACTTGTCTGGTATTGTCTGAAGTCAATTTATGTCAATTTGGTGATTACTTCATCATCATGGTACAGAATCATCATTTAGTCAGTGAAGACCTTGTCATTAAAAGGGTCATTCTCAGGGTTTAAGTTTTGTGAAATTCCTGCATATTAGATTCTATTATTTGCTGAAATATGATCACGGCTGATGCATAAGATTATTTGAGGAAATCTAAATTCAGACAATATTTATAATAATTTGAAAGTCTATTCTCTTCTTTGTAACCCGAGGGGCGGTGGAGTAGCCTAGTGGTTAAAGCGTTCACTTCTCATGCCTAAGACCCGGGTTCGATTCCCCACATGGGTACAATGTGTGAAACCCATTTCTGGTGTCCCCTGCCGTGATATTGCTGGAATATTGCTAAAACCGCGTAAAACTGAACTCACTCGCTTAGAAACCTGAACTTACAGGTGTTCCATGCTGTGTGCTATGGATAGAGGTTTATGTGGATTCTGATGTATTCCAGGTCATTTCTAAATTATACTTATTGGATGGATAATGTAAAGTGATATAAGGTAGTGTGAACTTAACCATAAAAGTGTAAAGAAATCATGATTTCCAAATTGAGAATCACCCTCAAAATGAGTGCAGGTATGTTTCATTTCCGTAAGTCAAGCCGTGTGTGTGAAGTATGTGACGTGTGTTTCCAGAGAGCTACCTAGGTACAAGTGTGAAGAATGCTGTTGTCACAGTGCCTGCATACTTCAATGATTCCCAGAGACAGGTCAGTGCTGCTAGCATGAATCTTTAATCTGTTAACTGATCTACAGCTTACATTCTTCATAAACCTGATGTTACCAGTGCAGCCTATAACTGACCCCACTGACAGTTGAACTCAGTATTACAGTGTTTTTAAGATACTGTTGTGGCCTTACCAAACATGACATGCAGACCTATATTCAACAAGGGTATGCACTGGACACTTGTGTTGGGAACTGGTGTAAATCGCATAATTGATGATTGGTTCATTACCACTGATCAATCATCAAAAATAATTGGTTAGCGTCATTTATGAAATTTGTTAATGCACAAAAAAATAAGAAAAAAACCTTGTAGTTATTTTGTTGTTTTTTTTGGCAAAATTTCTCATCTTTAAAGGATGACTAGTATGTGAGGAACCTGAATTTCTTGGTGTCTTTAGACCGCCCCTGTGGTGTAGTGGTTAGAGCGTCTGCCGGAGAAGGTCGCGGGTTCGATCCCTGACAGCGTCATACCAAAAGACGTTAAAATATGGTACTTGTTGGTCCCTGCCTGGCGCTTGGCATTAATGGGTACAGCAAGGACTGGTCGGCTCGGAGTCAGTATAATGTGTCTGAGTGGGGTATTCATGCTTCACTGCGGCATGGTATCTAAGTGGGCTAGCACTATAAAACCAGCTTAAGTCTGGACTAGTGCAAGCAGCCGCACATACACACACACACACGCATGCATGTCGTCATATGAGCAAAATATTCTCAAGCACGACGTTAAACCCCAAATTTCACCTCACCTCTTGGTGTCTTTAAGATAAATTCAATCATGACTTGGAACGAGCTTGTAGTGCTTATGAAATGTAACAGACAAAACCAACATTGTGAAAAATATTGTTGATGAAAACAAGTGTTCCAGAATTGTTTGTGTTCGATTATGAGAAAACATGATCGATTGCTTGGTCGTTTAGTCACTGACACCAATCTTTGATTATTTCAATTAATCGGATCACCACTACTGGACACAATTTTTATGTTGAAAGCCCTCCAAGTATTATAGCCCTGATGCAGTTTTACTTGGTTGACATTAAGAATCACATGGCTGTCTTTTTTTCCAGGCTACAAAGGATGCTGGTCAGATTTCGGGACTCAACGTGCTGCGAGTCATCAATGAACCCACTGCAGCTGCCCTGGCCTATGGCATGGACAAGTCTGCTGACAAAGTGTGAGTGAAGGCCTTTGTCATTCTCTGTCCTCCATGTTAGCTTTCAGTATCAGTAGAGAGAAGCGTATTAAGTAGTATCTCCCCGGCTGACAAAAGGGGAGTACATAGTTGGTAATAGTTTCAGATATAATTCTCCCAGTCATTACAAATTAAGTGATGATAAATTGATAAATATATTTTATATGGTATCTTTTAACCACGGGTGATATATTGTCACTGACTAGCACTATTAAAAAGGAAAGGGGTGTAAAGAGGTCAACATATCCAGTTTGTTTCACGACAAATTCAACAACGCTCACTTCTAGGGGTGAAACGGTACGCTCTTTCCACGGTACGGTACGTATTGCGGTACTAGGCTTTCGGTTCGGTCCGTTTCGGTTCGGTATATGAAATATGATCATAATGCAGAAAATTGACAAGCGCCAAACCTTACACTGTTTAATAACATGGAAAAAATAACCATAATCTTTGTTATTTTGAATGCACAAACTTGTCAGTTTCATGACAAGATAGAAGAATTAAAGTATCACTGGAACCTTGGAGCTAACAGCTGTGTGGCAAAATAGCAAGTATCCAAGTATGATTAAAAGTCACTAACATCACATCAGCATTTACTGCAGTGAAATGACCATGTCCCAGAAAATGTTCATGCTTAAAAACCCAAAACAAACAACAACACACAAATCAGATGTTGTCTAATGTCACTCCGTTGATGACATATCATAGACAAATAAAGCAAACAAATTAACACAACACAGTTGCCATAAGACAGTTACAGTCTGTGTGACTGATCATTGTCCTTGCTCTAAATCATTGTCTATCTCTCGTTTCAATCGGTTAAACATTTAGAGACTTGGGAAGTACTGCTACACAATCTTGACCCATTCCCAGAAATTTGTTTTATTCAGTTTTCAGATTCATTCAAAATATCTTTTAAAGTTCACTCAGAAATGTATTTCTCCTTTCTGAAAGAAATATGTTTTAGCTTGAGCTGAATTCTCTGTTTATTGGTCATTAAATGTTCATTGTTCTGATATAGCTTGTACTGAGATGGTAGCAACAACAAGCAAACATAAGTCCTAAGAACTGTGACAGAAAAGCCACCAGATCCATACCCATAGTTGCAGTCATCCCTCGCCGTAACCCCGGTCTTGGGGTCCATGAGACAAAATAACGTTATACATGTCCTGGAATAGAGGCCAAGTAAAATGTATTTTCCAAATACATAACAGAACTGCTATTTCGTGTATTGTGCCCAGTCAAAACTATGTCGTATCGTCGGAGATAAAAAAACAAACTTTGTAAATTAATATAAATATGTGTATAGGAAACCTACAATCACATTAAACATCACTAGACATAATAATTCAGTTGCCCTTCCTGTTATGCTACCTGTTATTCAACTAAGCCGGAAATAACAATCAGCTGTGTACAAATGTTTTTCTCCAATCTACCGGTGATTCACTTAAAAGCAATCTGAAAATATAACATCAAAGAATTTCTATTCCATTACCAGAATAATTTATATCTCAAGCAGTTATTCTATAATATATATCGCTGTGGTTTTAGTATTATGCATGTTTTCTACAAATATATTTATCATAATAATTAACATAGGCTCAGCACTTTGGGTTACGTGGCTGGATACATTTTACGTAGAGGACAGTTTGACAAATCACCGTTGACTTACCGCGGTACCTGCCACTTTGATTGTAAAAACAAAATGTTGGCAATTAATTGTGAAATCAGACTTCAATGAGTCAATAACGCGGATCTTGGGGTCCATGGATGACCGGGCGGTAATCTGTTCGTGATTGCTGAAAATAATTGTGAAATTGGTGCTATCGCGGTGGGGGCGCGAAAAGCGGACCCTTATGAACAAGGTAAGCGGAAGTGGTACGCGTTTAGAAAAAGGTGATGCCATTTCACACACGTTTTCTCCGATGTTACTGTAAACAGTTTTGATGAATAAAATTGGGATTAAATTTAATAAAATAAAATGAAATCGATGAAGATCGTTTTATTATGAGTTTTCTGACATCATACTCTACGTTTTCGGATGGCAGTGTTTACTCGTGCTATATAATGCGTTGTGTTGCATCACAGCAAACATCGTAAGTACTCGGCTGATGGCGTGTCTTTATGATAATGTTGACTTTTTATTAGTTATTACGATGTTCCGCAGTTCGTCTGATTTGAAATAACTGAAAAAGACACGGAACCCGGCTACTGATCTGGTATCTGCAGTACATTGCTGTCTTGCTGACTTTGTAAGTAGATGACTTGAGGCGATCTCGAATTTACTTCCAGGAAAGTAGCGGCCACCAAGCAAAGAAATGCATAGATTTCGACTAAATGATTCGATTTCTAGACATTTTAGAAAAGGTTTAAAATAAATAATAAAATGACTGTACGAAAACCAAAAATACCGAACTTTTGCATTGCATTGCGGTATACCGAACCGAGGGCAAAATACCGCGGTTCTACTAATACCGTGGTATACCGTTTCACCCCTACTCACTCCCGTACAAAACTATACATACATTTCCAGACAATAGGTTTTCCTACAAATTGAGACATAAATCACAAAAATCAAACATTTAACATTGTGTGAATGAGACTGTAAAATACAATGAGAGATCCATGTACAAGATAATTAGATTGTACCTGTGGGATGGGGGTGAAGGTTGGAAAGTGTGACAGTATCCTGTAAAAAGTCTTGTTGTCCTCCTTTCCTTCTCCCTTCATTCAAGGTGGCCAAGTAAACCACTCACCTTGTAGACAATAAACAGTTTGGGCATATATTGGTGTACATGTTCCTTGTCAGGTGGGAGTGTTCCAATAGCTGCTGCTGGATTCCATGTGTCAGCCCATACATGGGTGTGTGTTGTAGTTTCTTGAATATAATGGTTTGTTGCAGTATTGCTGTGTATGATCTGGGAGGCGGTACGTTTGATATCTCCATCCTGGAGATTCAGAAAGGGGTATTTGAGGTCAAGTCCACCAATGGCGACACTTTCCTGGGTGGAGAAGATTTCGACAATCATCTAGTCTCTTTCCTAGCCAAGGAATTCAAGAAAGATGTAAGACCAAGCACATGTTGGATGTTTTGCTCATTGTTTTGTGACTGAAGTTCTGTGTTTTATATTTTGTTCTTTTTTCAAAGTGATTAGTTCACCCCTTATATTAACCTAACAAAATGCTGGGCAGCCATTTATATAATGAATACTGTCATGAGATCAGTAATTTCAACTCCTGTAATCATGGAATTGGCAATGATGATTATGACATTTGTAGGGATGGGACCAATTGCTATTTTGATGTACAGGAATCAAATTTTAGTATTTACACCTAATATGGCAAGAAATATATGAAAAGATGGTATATTATTGGAATGCATTAGACCTGTTGTCCTGTCTGGCTTCAGCTGGGGTACCATGAGAAGTGATCTCTTTACAGAACGTAGTTACACCAGTACTGTGGATGACCTGTGAATTCCTTGTAACATTACAGCATGAAGACAAGTCACTGCTTTGAGTAGAACTTGGCAACTCCATACTGAAATGTTTGGGGTGATAGCAGCATCAGTGGTTACGCTACAGTAGCAGATTAAAATCCAACTTCAGCTGAGTGGGTTTTATAATAGGTCACATTCATTTGCCTGAGCTCATTTTGTCCGTATTTTCAATCCAGCGCTGTTTTGATTAGTCACTTAATAATGTCTGTTGGTTCTTTGATTTTTCAAGTGTATGTATGCATGTGAATATCCCAGGAGGAATGCTTACATGATTCCTTCTGATTTGAGAATAACAATGCATAAGTCTATGGCATTTTCACATACTGTTGGACAATTTCTAGGCATTCACCCAGAAATCATTGTGATATATATGCATAATTTCAATAGGAATAGAGAGTCGTGTTTGATGGATGTATTTTATTGCAGCAAGGTATAGACATAACAAAGGATACCATGGCAATGCAGAGGCTGAGAGAGGCGGCAGAAAAGGCGAAGATCGAGTTGTCGTCATCCTTACAGGTCTGTGCAGGACAATATTACTTATCCACTAACTCTATACAGCTGGTGACAGATGTATAAGACAATATCTTGCTTAGTTTCCCTGACACACTGTTATTGAACCCTTCTTGGTCAAGTTTTAGATTTGATTGATCTATACTGTGATGTTAGTAAATGACTAAACAGCATCTAAGGGTGAAACTTGGTATAGAAGTGTTTGTCTTAACCACCACAGATAGTCAGCAGGTGGTACTTACCATGTATGATCTTGCGTTACATCTGTGGCAGAGGAATCTCGGCAAAGGACGCAGCCATGTTGATCTGTTCTGGGTCTTGGGTTGTTTTCCATGCTGCGAGAGTTCTTGAGAGTTGGTCAGATGCTTGTGTGGCTCTGGTCATAGTTGTTTGAACTCACAAATGTTTCAGCATCACACAACTAGAGCTTGGCTGTGATGGAATGTTTCACAAGGATTTAACTTATTGTAGATTTTGGGTGGTGGAGTAGCCTAGTGGTTAATGCGTTCGCTCATCATGCCAAGGGCTGGGGTTAGATTCCCCACATGTGTGAAGCCTATTTCTGGTGTCCCCGGCCGTGATATTGGTGGAATGTTGCTAAAAGTGGAGTTAAACTAAACTCACTCACTACTGTAGATTCATATTCAGCCAGCGCTTGTGCTTTCTTCACAGGGAATTTATTACAATGAGAAACAAATTTGGTTTATATTAAAATATTCATTTCTCATCACAGGCACCAATTTTATTGGCATTTGGCAAAGATTTGAATTAAATTGTTTTTTGACATATATACTAGCCACATAAAGAAACTGTGCATTGTCAAAATATTATCCCAGTTGATAAGTACGATAACAATGTCAAAGGTACATATAAACTTTAATGGAGGGATTATGAGACCATAACAAGTCTGGAGAATTTCAATTGAAAAGTCAATCACAATGACGTCACGAGTAGCCCACACCAGTTAAGTTGCCCTGAACAATCACCAAAGGAGTTCTTTGGCGTGCTGTTATTCCACCCGTAATCATCAAGGAACCACCACCAAAGCGATTCCTCTCCAAGACACAGGCCTGTGCATAACGTTCTCCCACGCGTCTATAGGCACGTTGACGTCCATCACTATGGGAAATGTTAAACCTGGACTCATCTGTAAAAAACAACATTTCTACACCAAAACAAGGGTCTGCGGACATGATTTCGGCACCACATTCGGCGAGCTTGTCGATGACGTTGTGTCAGGATAGGCTGTATGGCGGGACGTCGTGGTCTGATCCCGTGATGACGTAAACGTTGTCGAACTGTGTTGGGGTGGATACGGCGAAGTCCTGGGATGGTTCGGGCAGTCATCACTGCAGTCTGAAACCTGTGGCGAAGATGGGTCACCCTTATCCATATGTCCTGTCTTGGCGTTCCGATCAATGACGTCATTTGTGTTCTGGTAGCGTCTCACCAGTGCAGAAATGGTGTTCCGGTGGCAGTGGAAATGTGCAGCCACTTGTCGTTGAGACATTCCTCCACGGACCATCCCAAAGGCCTCATGACGTTGTGCAGACGTGAGCCTTGGCATGCTATGCGTTTCAATAGCCGTTTAATTTTTTGAACGATCGCAAGGGCAGGGGTTGAGCTTTCCAAAGTGACAGTATTGTGTGGCATTCATTTGCTCTGTTTCTCTTTCCCGGAATGCACGTGCAACAACGTATTGCACGTCTCAAGGACGAACCTACTGATGTCACGGAACATGACACGTGCATGCATGTTGGATACATGTCACTAATCTCTGAGTTTAAATCCTTATGTGTCTAAACAGGTTTGATAAATTTAGTTTTTTAATTTTTGTATGCACAGTTTCTTTATGTGCCTAGTATATATACATATATATTCGTGAGTGTTAATTGAATGATCTAAATGGATTTGATAGTCCTGCAGATTGTCCTGAACTGTGGACTGTTTGTTTTTGTCCCCTGTCGCAACGCGCAATGGGGGACTATGTATTCAGTGGCGTACGTCCCGATTCTTGTTAACACGATATCTCATGAACTGTTGTACCCAATATCTTCAAGGTCACCACGACTTGTTGACTACTTTTCTAACTCTTGTTAACGGAATATCTCATGGACTGTTGTACCCAATATCTTCAAATTTGGTGACAGCCTACGTTAGGGGATTTGGGAGACCTTGACCTTATTTTCAAGGTCACCACGACACTGACCACTTTTCAAACTGTTGTTTAAGTGATATCTCATGCACTCTAGTATCCAATATTGTCAAATTTGGTGACAGCATACATTGGGGGATTACGCAGACACCAGTCAATTGGGTGACCTTGACCTTATCTTGAAGGTCACCACGACACTTTGAACACTTAACTCTTAACGCGATATCTCATGGACTGTTGTACACAATGTCTTCAAATTTGGTGGCAGTTTACATTGGGGTATTACACAGACACCAGATTATTTGGGTGACCTTGACCTTTTCTTTAAGGTCACCACGACACTTTGACCGCTTTTTAAACGCGATATCTCACCCAATGTACATTGCACCCAACGTTTTCAAGTATGTTGACAGCCTACATTGGGTGATTATGCAGACACCAGTCATTTCAGGCATCTTGTATGTGACCAAAAAATAAAAAGTAATAAATATAGATATTCCATTCTTTAGCGGCAGGGGACATTGCCATATCGGTGGCAAACACTTATTTAACAAGTTTTATATATTTCTCATTATTAGTCAAATAATTGTAAGTCAGAAGACATGAGCAGTGATGATACATTGATGAATTCTACAATGATATCAGTAAATACTGGATTGTGATTGGTTAATCAAAGTCATTCAGAGGTATATAATCACGTTATATACTTCTGATTTTCCAACACAGTATGTATTTAAAAAAGAATCTTAATAACGCGGTTATAGTAGAATGGAGGTAAACTTTCTGTGTTGGAAAATCAGAGGTATATAATGAAATCATAATAGCTCTAAAATTTGTATTTAAAACCTCACGCTTACCTTACAACTGCAGTCAAATTCGGTCTTTCTGGAATTGGAGTGAACTTTCACCACAGATAGTCAGCAGGTGGTACTTACCATGTATGATCTTGCGTTACATCTGTGGCAGAGGAATCTCAGCAAAGGAGGCAGCCATGTTGATCTGTTCTGGGTCTCTGGTTGTTTATTTTGCTGAGAGTGTTCTTGAGAGTTGGTCAGATGCTTGTGTGGCTCTGGTCATAGTTGTTTGAACTCACAGATGTCTTCAGCAAAAATGAGACATAATTCCCACTACAAATACTCATAGTAAATTCATTATGGTGTTATCAATACTTAAGCCACACTATGTTTTGGAGAATTTTGTGACCTGAAACCTTATTGTTCCTTGTCCATATTACTTCAGACGGACATCAACCTCCCCTACCTTACAATGGACTCCAGTGGCCCAAAACACATGAACCTGAAGTTAAGCAGGTCCAAGTTTGAGTCCATAGTGAATGATCTCATCAAGAGGACAGTGGGACCCTGTCAGAAAGCTCTGCAGGATGCGGAAGTGAAGAAGTCTGATATAGGGGAGGTCATCCTTGTTGGTGGCATGACCAGAATGCCCAAAGTAAGTCACTTATCCTCCCTGAGTTAAGCTAGCTACCTCTGACAGATAACTTGCTTGCACTTTACATTGAAAGTCTCAAGATGATAAGTTTTGTTTAGAGGCTATTCTATGCAATGGAGTGCAAGAGGGTTTGAGTGCTAAACATAGACGTAGACTACAGAAAGGTAACAGCAATAATGGGTATCACATGATCAACTGTCACATGATCACCTAGTGTTTGGGTAAGGATATGTTCCAGCATTCACACTGTCATGGAACAGACCTTGTATTTTGTTGGTAACTTTGAAAAGGCACTAGATTTGTCAAATGATTCTATGAAAGGTTGCATAGACATGATCAAATAATGCCGTAACTACTAGTCTGATTCATTGTTTTCTGGTTGAAGTGGATAAAGGGTCTGTGAGAGGAATGTTAATGGTTCAATGCCCAGCCACATTGTACCAAAACATTTAAAAAGATGGACTTTTATGTTTCCCTGCCTGCCATACTTCATTAAGAGAATGATAAGGGCTGGGACGATACACTATGTCACGATATGATACGTATCGCGATAATATACCTGCGATACGATACGTATCACGATACATACACCTTGAAAGAATGACACAGTATTAAGATTTAAAATGATTTATTAGACGGTATTTGTGTATAACAATAACACTATTGTAATAAACAAGTAACTCTATCATACTTGCGTATTTTTCTCTACATAAGTACTTTGACATGTTTAAGAGAATACTGTTTTGAAGAAAAGTTGTTTATTGTTTTGTATCGATGCACCCTGCGACGATACGATAGCTGTATCGTGATGTATCGGTGCATCTTTGAATTGTCGCAGCCCTAAGAATGATACAAGGACAGAATGGATCAGTGTCACATAATGTGTAGGTTAAAACTGCCGCATGGTGTCTCAGTGGGCTAGTACTCTAAAACCAACCTTAGTCTGGTTTAATACAGGCAGTCACACAAACACACATATATATGGACCTTAGTGTATAAGTGCATGAAACCTATCTCCATTTCACCTCATTGTTTCCTACCAGGTTCAAGAGACAGTCCAGGAGCTGTTTGGACGTACTCCAAGCAAGTCTGTCAACCCAGATGAAGCTGTAGCCATTGGAGCTGCCATCCAGGTGAGGCATCAGAACATGCAACTGACATGTGACTCACATCACTTGCGCACCTCTCATACACACCTCACATACACATTCATATCATATACATCGTACCTAATCATCACACACGTGTCATGAACATGCATTACATGAACACTCAGCTCGAGCTCATTTGTGTGATTTGTTGTTCACTATGAGGATGTGGTATCCCAGAAGTGATTGGTGTGTTGGCTGGAGATGTCACGGATGTGCTGCATCGTTCTGTAACGTGTATGATGTGTTTCCAGGGTGGTATGTTGGCTGGAGATGTCACGGATGTGCTGCATCGTTCTGTAATGTGTATGATGTGTTTCCAGGGTGGTGTGTTGGCTGGAGATGTCACGGATGTGCTGCATCGTTCTGTAATGTGTATGATGTGTTTCCAGGGTGGTGTGTTGGCTGGAGATGTCACGGATGTGCTGCATCGTTCTGTAACGTGTATGATGTGTTTCCAGGGTGGTGTGTTGGCTGGAGATGTCACGGCTGGAGATGTCACGGATGTGCTGCATCGTTCCGTAACGTGTGTGATGTGTTTCCAGGGTGGTGTGTTGGCTGGAAATGTCACGGATGTGCTGTATTGTTCCATAACGTGTATGATGTGTTTCCAGGGCGGGGTGTTGGCTGGAGATGTCACGGATGTGCTGTATTGTTCCATAACGTGTATGATGTGTTTCCAGGGTGGTGTGTTGGCTGGAGATGTCACGGATGTGCTGTATTGTTCCATAACGTGTATGATGTGTTTCCAGGGTGGTGTGTTGGCTGGAGATGTCACAGATGTGATGTATTGTTCCGTAACGTTTTTGATGTGTTTCCAGGGTGGTGTGTTGGCTGGAGATGTCACAGATGTGATGTATCGTTCCGTAACGCGTGTGTGATGTGTTTCCAGGGTGGTGTGTTGGCTGGAGATGTCACGGATGTGCTGTATTGTTCCATAACATGTATGATGTGTTTCCAGGGTGGTGTGTTGGCTGGAGATGTCACGGATGTGATGTATTGTTCCATAACGTGTATGATGTGTTTCCAGGGTGGTGTGTTGGCTGGAGATGTCACAGATGTGATGTATCGTTCCGTAGCGTGTATGATGTGTTTCCAGGGTGGTGTGTTGGCTGGAGATGTCACGGATGTGATGTATTGTTCCGTAACGTGTATGATGTGTTTCCAGGGTGGTGTGTTGGCTGGAGATGTCACAGATGTGATGTATTGTTCCGTAACGTTTTTGATGTGTTTCCAGGGTGGTATGTTGGCTGGAGATGTCACAGATGTGATGTATCGTTCCGTAACGTGTGTGATGTGTTTCCAGGGTGGTGTGTTGGCTGGAGATGTCAAGGATGTGCTGTATTGTTCCATAACGTGTATGATGTGTTTCCAGGGTGGTGTGTTGGCTGGAGATGTCACGGATGTGCTGTATTGTTCCATAACGTGTATGATGTGTTTCCAGGGTGGTGTGTTGGCTGGAGATGTCACGGATGTGCTGTATTGTTCCATAACGTGTATGATGTGTTTCCAGGGTGGTGTGTTGGCTGGAGATGTCACGGATGTGCTGCTGCTGGATGTCACTCCCCTCTCCCTAGGCATAGAGACTCTTGGAGGAGTGTTCACCAAGCTCATCAACAGAAACACAACCATTCCCACAAAGAAGAGTCAGGTAAACCTGCAACATATTTATGTGGAGTACTTATCACCACTTCTTATGAAGTGATGGACGGTGGGGTAGCCCAGTGGTTAAAGCGTTCCCTCGTCCCGCTGACGACCCATGTTCAATTCCCCTCATGGGTACAATGTGTGAAGCGCATTTCTGGTGTCCCCTGTTGTGATATTGATGGAATATTGCTGAAAGCGATGTAAAACTAAACTCGCTCACTTATGAAGTGAGAAATCGAGGTTACACACTTCTGTTTTTTGGTCACTTTGGATGCAGTACTTACCTGTTGATATGACAATGTTATAATGGCTGTGTTTGTTGCAGGTGTTTTCGACAGCTGCTGATGGTCAGACCCAGGTGGAGATCAAGGTGCACCAAGGGGAGCGAGAGATGGCTGCCAACAACAAACTCCTGGGACAGTTCTCTTTGGTGAGAGGGTACTTTGATGTGTGAGATGGGGTACATAGAGGTGTGGGTGCCTTGAGCTGTGGGAGTGGATGTGTGGGGGTGGGGTACGGTGCTTTGGGGTGTGGGTGCTTGGAGGTGTGGGTGCTTGGAGGTGTGGGTGCTTGGAGGTGTGGGTGTGTGGGTGCTTGGAGGTGTGGGGATTTTGGTGCTTTGAGGTGTGGGGATGTGGGTGCTTTGATGTGTAAGGGTGTGGGTGCTTGAATGTGTGGGGATGTAGATGCTTGGAGGTGTGGGGATGTGGGTGCTTGCAGGTTTGGGGATGTGGGTGCTTTGGGGTGTAGGTGCTTTGAGGTGTGCAGGGATGTGGGTGCTTGGGGTGTGGGTGCTTTGAGGTGTGGGGGGGTGTGGGTGCTTTGAGGTGTGTGGGGTGTGGGTGCTTTAAGGTGTGGGGGTGTGGGTGCTTTGAGGTGTGGGAATGTGGGTGCTTGGAGGTGTCGGGATGTGGGTGCTTGGGAGTCTTGGGGGATGTGGGTGCTTGGAAGTGTGTTGGGGCTTGGAGGTGCTGAGGGATGTGGGTGCTTGGAGGGTGTGGGTGCTTGGAGGTGTGGGTGCTTGGAGGTGCACTTGGGGAGCTTGGAAGTGAGGGATGTGGGTGCTTGGAGGTGATGGGGTGTGTGCTTTGAGGGTGTGGGGTGTGGGTGCTTTGAGGTGTGGGTGCTTGAATTTGTGGAGGTGTGGGTGCTTTGAGGTGTGGGAGCTTTGAGGTGTGGGAGTGTGGGTGCTTTGAGGTGTGGGTGCTTGGAGGTGTGGGGTGTGGGGTGCTTGGAGAGGTGTGGGGTGCTTGGGGTGTGTGTGTGTGGGATGTGGGTGCTTGGAGTGTGGGTGTGAGGGATGTGGGGGTGCTTGGAGGTGTGGGTGCTTGGAAGTGTAGAAGTGTGGAGTGCTTTGAGGTGTAGGAAGTGTGGGTGCTTTGAGGTGTGCGTGGGTGCTTGGAGTGTGTGGGTGCTTTGAGGTGTGGGTGGGGGTGTGGGTGCTTTGAGGTGTGGGGGTGTGGGTGCTTTGAGGTGTGGGGGTGTGGGTGCTTGGAGGTGTGGGTGCTTTGAGGTGTGTGATGGGGTGCTTTGGTGTGTGTGATGGGGTTCTTGGATGTGATGGATGGGGTGCTTTGAGGGGGTGGGGTAAGGTTTATTGAAGGGTGGCATGGTTGAGGTGTTTTGAAGGAGTGGGAGTGTCTTGAGGTGCTTCGCGGGGTTTGATGGGGGTGGTAGCATGGATGCCTGGATGTTCAGTGTCCTGGAAGTCTTACATGTGTGAACAGAACATGGATGCTGTTGCTACAGTTTGGAGTTAGTAGCACAATGATTTGTCTTGGTGATAGATGAGTAGAACATGGATGGGCAATCTGTATGACCTGAGCACAGATTCACAACTGGTTGATTATCGTATTTTTGCATCTTGAATGTGATGATTACTTTCTGATGTCAATGTGTTTGGTCCTGGCTATTACGTGACTCACAATGCTATGACATCGCTGCACTGCAAGTCTAATTGCAGTACCGTGTTCAGAGATGTACATTTTTCATAGAAAACTAATGAAGAGCAGTTTTTGATGATAAATAGAATCTCAACCCTGTGTCTTCTGATATCAAATATATCAACACTCAAGCCTTGAATTTTTGTAACTTTATCAACTCGTGATGATATATTTGATCTCAAAAGACTCTATCTATTGGCAAATGTATTCTCTATCTATTGGCAAATGTATGAGCCAAGAAAGTTAAATAGAAAGTTCGATTATCTTGCGGTTGACTTGACTTGAGGACACCTTGTGATGTATATTTCAGGTTGGTATTCCTCCAGCTCCCCGAGGCGTACCACAGGTTGAGGTGACCTTTGACATTGATGCAAATGGCATTGTTAATGTCTCTGCTCGGGACAAGGGTACTGGTAAAGAACAGCAGAGTAAGTACGATCTTGTCTTTCGGGATAACACCACAGATAGTCAGCAGGTGGTACTTGCCATGTATGATCTTGCGTTACATCTGTGGTAGACGAATCTCAGCGAAAGAGGCAGCCATGCTGATCTGTTCTGGATCTCAGGTTGTGTATTTTGCTGAGAGTGTTCTTGAGAGTTGGTCAGATTCTTGTGTGGCTCTGGTCATAGTTGTTTGAACTCACAGATGTTTCAGCATCACACAACTAGAGCTTGGCTGTGATAGAATGTTTCAAAATATTGCACCCTTTCTGGATGCATTGTCACTGAGGAGGAATCAGTTATTTGTTAACCTTACTGGTGGGTTTTACCCTTATGTACAACACCAGGGGTCCAGGACACATCAAAATTAATGTCAAATGTCCCTAGGGGAAATTGTCGGAAAGGAATGAAATGGCGTAGTATAATGGGCCCTGTTATACAAAGCGATTGTTGCACAGTGATGATTGTAAGGCTATGTATAAGGATTTTGCAATTACCTCAGTGTTGCAATAGTTGTGGGGAACTGACCACTGTACGGTAAGACTGGATACATTACTTTATTGACAGTAGCTGTATATTTCTCATCAAGAATGTGTGTGTATATAGAGGGAGAGAGAGAGAGAGAGCATAATTATATATAGATCAGTATGCTTAAAAAGTTTTGGAGGGAGGGAGAGACTGCGTACTTACTTGACAACAATATAAGGATTTATACACAAATGTCAAATCACGAGATACAGAAGTTGCCATCCAGAAAGCATCTTGCGGTTATTGAGAGAAAGAGAGAGTGTCCTTCTTTTCAGGTCATCCAATGAATGATTTTAATGATGTGACAGTGGTGTGCGATTTAGTTGATTTGCCTCACAACTAGTGAAGTCATTGCAGTAAGTTTGTAAAATCTAATTGCCATTAGATTTGGCTTCATGGTTGTCTCAGCTATGAACATGATGTAGAGAGAAGAACAAGTTATGGAATTAAAAATCATGCATTAACTGGGATGTGATGTGGACTTCTGATATAAGATTGTACTCAAGACCTTTATAGTATCTGTTTATAACATCATCACCACAGATAGTCAGCAGGTGGTACTTGCCATGTATGATCTTGCGTTACATCTGTGGCAGACGAATCTCAGCCAAGGAGGCAGCCATGTTGATCTGTTCTGGGTCTCTGGTTGTTAATTTTGCTGAGAGAGTTCTTGAGAGTTGGTCAGATTCTTGTGTGGCTCTGGTCATAGTTGTTTGAACTCACATATCTCTCTTCATATGACCCATTAAAGTGTAAAGAGGCAAATGATAGGATACAAGAACAGTTATTGAAATGTTATTATGTTTGTGCATTTAACAGAACTGAAGAATACTGTTTTGTTTCCTTGTTAACATTGCTGTGTATAAGTGCGTCATCTGATCATAAGACTTGCATTTTCCTGATTCTGGTGTGATGATGTTAACCGTCTTTGTTCATGTAGTTGTAATCCAGTCGTCGGGAGGTCTCTCCAAGGAGGACATCGAGAACATGGTGAGAAATGCAGAGAAGTATGCTGAGGAGGACAAGAAGAGGAAGGTAAGCAGCCTGAAGTGTCGTCATGGCTACCAACTAGTTTAAGGTTGTGGATTAGCTGTCTAGTTACGTAGTGCACAGGGACTGTAGGCAGGGGAAGAGCACTGGGTTGAGAACTGTAGGCAGGGGAGAGCACTGGGTTGAGAACTGTAGGCAGGGGAGAGCACTGGGTTGAGAACTGTAGGCAGGGGAGAGCACTGGGTTGAGAAGTGTAGGCAGGGGAGAGCACTGGGTTGAGAACTGTAGGCAGGGGAGAGCACTGGGTTGAGAAGTGTAGGCAGGGGAGAGCACTGGGTTGAGAACTGTAGGCAGGGGAGAGCACTGGGTTGAGAAGTGATGGTGTTTGAAACTATGATGAGGCTGTGAGATTTGACTGTTTGATGCGTGTTGCAGGAAGTTGTGGAGGCAGTGAACAGTGCAGACAGTATCATCCATGATACAGAGACAAAGATGGATGAATACAAGGACCAACTGCCAGCTGATGAGGTAAGTATCACTCCAACCTCGGTCCTTCCACTTGACACAAGGCAGTGATGTCTCTATTTTTCGTCTCCTACAGGCTGTTCTGCTTGTATGAGGAATCTTATGTCTGAGCCTTGGTCTTATCAAATCTTTGAGTAGAATCATTAGAAACAAGTTTAGTTAAAGAAATATTTCTGAATACTGATGAGGAATGTTGGGAAACTGGTATGTTCTTCTGTTGTCTGAACACCTTGGGAATGTGGACCCTGTCGCTGAAGTCACTTGGGTGGGTGTGTTTAGGGTGGAGGAGAACAAGTCACTTGTTGATTGGGTAGTCATGTCATGAGGGGCCTTGACCCATAGTTCAGTCACAGACAAGCAGATGTCCGGGCTGATGGATTTGGTGTCCTATATCGAAATAGGCTTATAATTAACCTTAATATTGTCTGCACTGAAACTAACCATGCAAGTGGATAATGTGCCTTGAATGTCAACAGCTAGCATCAACTGGCATATCTCAGGCCCATCTGAGGTCAACTGTTGAAATCTAAAATATATCCATTTGTAAGTTGCCTGTTACGCTTGACAAGCATGGATGTTTCCTTTTCATTGATTGGCTGCTTATGATTATAATAGATTGAACTGAAAATTTCAGAAGCACACCATGTTTTAAAATGTGTTAATAGTGGTGAACATGGCAACATGGATGGGAGAGACAATTTAGTATCCAATTGCTAATGGTCTGACGGTTTCAGATAACACAATACCATTTTAAAACAAAATGTACATATAAAGAATATTTTAGAATTTAACCTCAAGTTTCGTGAAATGATCTTGTCTTACACCCTGTGTTTGTGTCAACAGTGTAACCAGCTGAAGGAGAAGATCACCAAGGTGAGGGAGGTGCTTGCCGACAAGGACATCGAGACCGCTGACAGCATCCGAGAGGTCACATCGGACCTCCAACAAGCATCACTCAAACTCTTTGAGATGGCTTACAAGAAGGTAAGAACACCTGTCTTTAAATTCCACATTGCCATCTGTAGGACTATTCCATTTACATTCCAAGGCCATGATGTTCTTATTTTTCGTCTCCTACAGCAGCAATGCTTCTGCGGAATACAAACTCTGAGCCTTGTGACAATTGTCTGTTATAACATGTAATGGGATGTCTTGTGTATTCAAATTGTGTCCATATTACTGGATTAACACTTGTTTTTCACATGGTAGATGGCGTCAGAGAGGGAATCATCCTCCTCCTCATCTTCCTCTGAGGAATCCAGTGATTCCACATCATCATCATCATCATCATCATCATCTGAGGAGAAGGAAGAGAAGGAAGAGAAGAAGGATAAGAACTAAGTGTTATGATACGAGTTGTGAGATACACGGAACAGTGGCTTCGTCTGCAAGCACACGCCACAGACACTTGTGAGATACACGGAAGTGATCATTATTGTGTGTGGGTTAGATATTCATTGAGAATAGTAGTCAGCTCATCTAGCAGATTGCACCCAGTACATACAGACATACATTCTTGTACAGGTCATCATCAAGTTGCACAGAGTCATCATCTGTATTGAAAATTCCTTCATGATAAAAATCAAAGTGTTTGATAAAAATATGGTTCCATCGCCAAGCAAGATGTATGCTACGACAGCACTGCGCTGCATGTCTCATCCTGAGATTGTTACAGATGTTGTTAGTGCTGGATGGAGTTGTGTCATGTGGGGAGGGATGGTAGTGGGGGTGAGGGAAGACACCAGAATAAAAGTGTTACAGTATCTGTACATATATTAGCTAGGCAGAAAAGCATTTAGTTTGTGATATTTGAGTGTGTGATCATATTCAGTGGAAGGATGGAAACTGTAGATATGTGTGTGATTCATAGTCATGCGAGACGACACGAAATGAGACATTGGTTACTGTTTGTAATCCCTTGTGTCTTTGTATCATTGTATCATAATATATACTTGTGAAGAAGAATGTCTTGTTTCTCTTCCTTCCTTATTTAGTATTATGTTAAATGTTGGATGTGAGGCTTGTTCTGCCAACTATAATTATGACTGTAATGATAGAATTCTTTGCATTTCAGTGCATATCTCAGTGGTAAAGGGGTTGCTGCTTTTCTTAAAAGTAAGATTAGGGGGTGTCAGAATCAGACTATAGGGGCAAGCCTCAGAAGCCCCATGTAACCCCACTTAATTTGAACACAGTAGGTTTTGGAAGTGATACTTGAAACAATAAATGAAAACTTGCTACTTGCGTTGTTATGGAAACGTAAACTTCAATCATTTAAATTAAGGCAGCACAACTGAAATATACAGAAGAATTACGTTTGAAAATTTAAGAAGGCTTGACACTTTCCATACCAACAAGCAGAAAATATTTTGCTGTTTATATTCATGCAAAGTCACCCTTAATATATATGTCTTCTTTTGTATTCTAGCATTTACTCCCACCACTGTACTCGCATTGTGGCCTGGAATATTACACAGAGCATTCAGGGAATGGTTTCATCCACTCCCTTACATGTGACGCTAGGTTTGACCTCTCTTGCCTCCACTAAGGTGAAACACTAAATGGTAATGATCAACTATTTCACAAAGAAAGATGAATTTGGAATCTCATGACAGTATTAGAATGGTATTTGGATTGTGTCATTGTTCTGTGTGAGATAACAGACTTTGTGGTCATGCGTTGAGTTTGTTTCCCTCTGACATAAGAGAACAAATGGCTGAGATTGATCCTGAGTACCTAATACATGCTGTCACAGAAGGCAGTGTTGTCTCATTCATATTCCACGTGCTCGGATATGTGTGTGTTAAAACATTTGGTTTTGTGACCAAAGTTACATGAATGATACGGTTCAGATCTTAGATTAGCCAGTGTATGTTTTACACACACTCACTTGGAATATTGGATTTTATGATTTACAAATCAAGTGTAAGGCCTAAATGCTATCATACTGACAAATTTCATTTGAAAAGAGTTGCTGTTGATTGCATTGTATCTTTATGGAACTAGTATTGTAATTATTTGGAAGTATAAAGAAATGAAATAAAAATAAAAAGAAGGCAGTATATTGTTTTCATGCTTTTAGAATTTGTGTTTGAATGCATTCATGGTGAAAGTCACCTGTCGTGACATCTGGGGTCATGGTATTGACTTCTCACTGACATACTTCTAGATCATATGTACCTGTGAAGATCAGGGTAAGGATTGAACAGGTGATGAAGTGGTGACACAACCAGTGTACAACGCAAGCCCATGAGGTGATATTAGGATGATGTGATGAAGTACCCATAGTCTGGGTTGATTGTAAGAAACACTTATGATACCTTCAAATCTATCTTCACAGATGGATCCAAGCTCTATGGCAGTGTTGCTAGTGCTACTGTCATTGGATCCAGCAGGGTTAGCCATTAACAGGTTGCACCTTTGCAAGTTAATTTTAGCTGGTGCAAGTACATTTACCAGCAAGTTGCACCCAGTGCAAGTAAGTTGATAGCTTCAGAACATAGTAAATCATCATTGCAACTGCGTTAATAATGAAACTAAGATGTTCATTACAGTAAAAAACATGTAACGAACTCCATGGTACCACTGAAATTAGTTCGTTATATCCGTAGTTCGCTATTCAGTTTTTATATGATAATATAAGGTTTATTAGGGACTTTTAAAACAGGTCACTATAGCCGTCACTTAAATCCGTGTTTGTCATAAAAGTATTCTACTGTATTTGATAAAATCTTTTTAAATCTGAATTATTTTTTTCCTCATTGAAAGTTTCATTATGAAAAAGGGAATTGAATTAATCTGTTGCACAGTGCATTACTAACATTTTTTGCTCTTTTAGATTTGGTAAGATATCCATTTTCTAAGGCTTTTTGGGGGTGATTTTGAAACTACAACCAGAATTATCCGTCACCTGATGCAATCTCTTCAAGGCAAACTAAATCGCACCCTGTCCAGAACATTATCTTAAAGATTACCTGATGATGACTCCATTTTTACAGCAGAGGCTAATGCCATATTATCAGCTCTAAATATATACATAACCAGTCTAAATATACACAGTCATATTTTCAGGCTCATTTTTGTGTCTTCAGGCTATTAAAACATGTCTTCTAAACATCCACTTTTAATAGAAATTGTTGAACTATTTCACGTTCTTGCTTCAGGCCAATACCACATCGTATTTTGTTGGTTACCCAGCCATGTTGGACTTGCTGGTAACACCATGGCTGATGCTGCTGCAGCTAAAGCAGCACTCAACAAATCTGTGACACCACTTACTTTCTATACTGATTACAAACCTATCATTAGAACTACATCTGTGATCTAATGCAAAAAGAAGTGCGACACTGAAGTAGGTATCAATAAATTACATGAAATTGAACCAACTATTGGTCATACCTACTTGGCTTGTCAGTCCAGATTTGAAGAAGTTTTTATACGACGATGTATTGGTCATTCTAGATATACTCATTAGTACCTGTTGAAAGGCGAGGATCCTATGTATCCCTTGTGATGAAATAATCGCCTGTGTTGGAATGTTTAGGGCTGTTGTTGTTATTTATTTCCCGACTGACTTATACTATGCTACGACAGGTGGTCAATGGTCTGAGCCTTACGGTTATGGACTGCTTCAATGTGTGTGTATTTGCTGATCATATTTCCACATTATCGTTGGGGAGGTCTAGAAATGTGTCAAAGATACTGGAGTGTACGGATCCCATTGACGTTGAAGCCTTCCTCAGGAGAGATAACATCATATGCAGGATGCTTAGCGAACGGTTGTTTCTTCAAATTTGGGAAGTAGTGGAATCTGACGAGGCAGATCTGGTAAATATGGATGATGTTTGAAGCAGTGTGGGGACAGGTTCATTGGCCAGGCGAAACCTTTGGTGACTTTTCCAGGACTTAAGGCCTTGATATTCTCAGCAGTTGCAAAAGCAAATTAGGATAGTCACAGCCATCAATGGTCCGAACAAAAGGTAGTACAAGTAGGCTTATTCTGGAACCGGAGAAAACAGAGGCCACCATGTTACACTTAGCTGTATGACGTGTGGTTCGATTGGGCATTTGGGCGGTGGCTTAGCCAAATGGTTAAAGCGTTCGCTCGTCACGCCGAAGACCCGGGTTCGATTCCACACACACGGGTACAATTTGTGAAGCCCATTTCTGGTGTCCCATCCCCATCCCCACCGTGATATTGCTGGAATATTGCTGAAAGCTATTTTTATCACCTTCCGCGCGTTTAGCGCGAAGCGGGGTAAATAATATAAGGCTCTGTCCGTCCGTACGTACGAATTGGAATATCTTAAGAACCATTGACTAGATTCTTTTCATACTTGGTACCTAGGTTCATCACAGGTATAAGAAAGGTCCCAGTCAGGTTTGGTGACCTTGACATTTATTTCAAGGTCATAAGGGAACTTTAACCTTTACCCTTGTCAGCAAGATATCTCAAGAACCGCTCACTGGATTTTCAAAGGTCACAACGACACTTTGAAGATTTCAGCATGTTAGCCTGCATGTTAAGCTTGTCAGCGAGATATCTCAAGAACCGTTAACTGGATTTTCATCATATTTGATACCAAGCTTCATACAAGGAAGGCGCAGAGCCCAGTCGATGTTGGTGACCTTCACGTAATTTTCAAGGTCACGGCGACACTTTGAAGACAATTTTAGAAGGCACAAGCAAGATTAAACCTGAGTTCAAAAAGCCAATGTTATGTTTATTAAATCTGATAGTGAGGTTCATGTTAGATGTATATCATGGGCTCAGATATTTTAAGAATTTAACTGTGATCCAGACACTCATGTACATTCAGAATCACTCACATTTTGCACTTAACCTTGAAAAATTAATAAAGAGATTTCAAAATCATAATCAAGAATTGTACTTAAGATCACCGAGCTTCAGAAATCGATATATGTGCATTAGCTAGTTCGTGGTACAACATTCACTTATAAATAGCTTGTTGCCTTTTACTATAACCAATATTTCTTTCAATGATGTGCCTTTTGTGGATGTAATGTTTAAAGTGATCAAAATTTAAGGTTGTTTCCAAAAGTTGGAATTAAGCTAAGAGCAACCGCAGGACAGTTGAGCATTGGATTTTTATTTCTTTGCCCACAGTCGTTTCCATGAAATGAGAATTTTATTGCCTGCAAGGGACAGAGCGTTTGGAACTCTGTGTTAGACAACCAGATGAGGGAATTACCCACAACCAGAGCATTAGCCATGCAACCGTTGCTGCTAACACCACGATCAGCATGCTTAATTACTGGTGATAATCACGGACGTTTGCTATGGCCTCGATGCGAAGTTGCATATGGTTTTCAGTTAAACCCTGGGATTTTTGGGACAATAATAGATTGTTCCAAACAATGCTTTGGTTTTACCAAAACGTTTGAATTGTTCACTGGAATGCTGAATGTCCCGAAAGACTGTTGGGCCCCTCCACAGTTACACAACACATAATTATGTACCTATTTCTCCTTTACATAATATTCAGCCCATTTCAACAGTGAACCTGTATGTGCACTACAAGACGACACCATTATCCTGGCTGAGGTATTTGTTCAAACGTGTGGTGTTTGACAGGCCTGTCTTCCTCACATTTATGAATACGGTCAAGTCATCCAACCATCACACGGTC